GGGGGGGGTGGGGGGGTGGGGGGGGGGTTGAATTTTCGAGAACATAATTCATGTGATCTATCAAACGCACCAAAATATTCCTGCTTTTTCATCTATATCATTGCACATCTCTTCCCGTCTGGTAACGTTTTTGTACCTAAAAATAATTGTTTCAACATTTATTGGCTAGTTTTTTTCTTCGTTACTGCATAATCATCGTTGTTTTTTCCTTTAGAGTGTTCTTACTCTTAATCTGCTAGTCAATTAAGTGGGGTCTATTAATGCCTTTGTATTGGAAGTTCTTGGATCTAAATTGAAAGTCAGGAGAGAAAGGCAGAAAGTGTAGTAGAGTATATTCCTTTGTTAGGTGACAGTTGTGAGAATTTGTTGACTTTATTGGATAGCTGGTATTTACTCGGAAGAACGTACATTGAGTCTTGCCAATGGTGGAAGTTATCGATGAATCTATTAGCAAAGACTCTACCAACTACTTCCATAAAAATTCAATCATAATTAGGTATAAAACTGAAGGCTTATTACACCGTCTTCGATCCGTTTTGGGTTTACTCTAACTATCTTTTCACCTTGCTAGGCTGAAAATCCAAACCTGCGTGCCGAGTTGATAGGATGGTTAACCGCCGCCCTAGCGAATCAAAAGTTGAACACGAAGGCCGCAATCAACGCTGGCCTCTCCCCAGACTTTGGCCCAACTCTAGCCACCATGGTTTACGGCATCTGTGAGGATCGTAATCCAGAAGCTCGCCAACGGGCCCAGAAAATTCTCCCTGTGCTCATTCGCTCTCTTGGTCTCGACACAATGCAGAAAGCTCTCAAGAAACTAAAGATCACAAATCAAGATGTAATTGGGCCTCTCTTGGAGAAGGCAAAAGAACAGGTGGCTGCTGAAGAACCAGCGGCTCCTCCTCCTGCTCAGAAGACCATTCGTGGAGGTGGTGGTGGAGGTGTTAAGAAAGCTCCTACTCAGGAAGAGGAGACGCCCGAACCCCCTGGTATAATTGTCCTTTGCATTGTTTGTTTGGCTTCCTTTTATCTATGGGATAAGATTGCTTTCGCTTGAGGCATTTGAACACCCTAGAAGTAGAGTATTGGTTTATCGGGATCTTGGTGTGATGGCCACGGAGCTTTACAAATAAGCGAACTGGAGTGTATAATAAATGCTTTGGCTGTCTGTTATCAATGTAGCGCGTTTAATGGGATTGTGTAGTAGTCGTAGTAAGAGGTTTTATTTGCTGATTCGGCACGACAGGGCAAATATGCGGGAATGCGGACAGGCACTTGCATGGTTAACATCTCAGTATTCCAGAGCACAATATTTTTTGCACAAATTTTGGAGGAGTAAAAGTATAACAATTAAGACCAGCGGAGATAGAGGGAGGGGGTAGTGGTGGATTAGTAAAAGACGGGTTAAGTCATTTCTGCTGATGTTTTCTTTGCTCGCTAATAGTAAGTTCCTCAAGTGCTACCCACCTTTCTCTTTAGCCGCTACTCCCGATTTTGACGAAGAGGTCTCAACAGCTACTGTAAAACCTGCAGGAGGCAAAAAGCCGCCTGCCAAGAGACCCACTATGACTTCGAAAAGATCGGCCGCTCTCGAGCAGGCTGAGGAGGCTGCTTCGGTCGTTCCTCTTCAAATCAATAATCTTCGAGAGGCTCGAATGCAGGATGAGAAAAAACGCAAGGTATGCTTTCGGTTAGCATTGAATTTTCATATTAATTTTTATTCATTTATGGTCCTTGAATCCTATGCATGGGAAATCTCCTCCGTCTATAGTCATTGACTTATATTCTAATTAGGACCTTTTTAAGACCTGACGAAGTATCAGATCACCTTCAACAGCAAAGAAATGCGCATACAAAAACTCTGGCATTTGGGGGAATTTTAGTCTGCATGACTTGATGAATACATTTTTGGTTCTTCACGAACCTTTATGGTGTTCAGACTGTTGTGTTTTTCATATTGTCAAGATTGTTTTTTTTCATCCCAAAAAACTGGATTGTTTGTGCTTCAGCAGATTGTCGCTCGTTGAGCGTATCTTCATGGTTGAGACCTAAAAAAATCCATTCACTGGGACTACAAAGCCACCCCATTTGTGATCCTAAGGTGCAAAAAACCCGATTAAATCTGATTGTCCATTATGTTGTTTTTTCTAGCCACATCAGTTTTGTGGTCTCTATTGTAACTCTCCATTTCATGTCGATTTGGTTTCTCGGTGTTGGCGGAGCACTGAGGGCTGACCGCAATGTTCTCTTTTTGATGTTCGGTGTTAATTATCATAATGCAGGTTATACTTTATGAACGACCACCCATCTGCCATAAATCAAGAAATGGTATCCCGTAGGCAACGAATTTGGCAGAAACCAGCTGATAAGGAAAGCATGTATTTGGTATATCTTTATTGAAATATTGGAAATTTGAAAGTAATTAACTATAATTCAGCCAACATTCACTGCTTTGTGGCAGTTTTATATATGGCAATTTCCCTTCTGTGTACTGACTTCCATCTTGCACTGCTAAACGTCGTTTTCGTCATTTAATCAGGTCGACTGTGGTGGTTATTTAAACCCCTATTTTGTCCAAAGATGCACTTATTGTTGCGTATTATATTGTCAGTCAAATCCCTAATCAGATTTCAAATCAAGATGGAAGCTCAGATTTCGAGAATATTTGCAATTTTGTTAATCCAAGACTATCATCACTAGGAAAGTACGATTTAAATTTTATTTATTAATATCATATGATTAGATGACCTTTTAGGGACTTGCTCATACTTAAACACTCTATTGAACAAATCATTACTTTGATTCGAAGAACGAAGTACCGCTTTATACTTGAGACCACAAACTTCCTTTAAATTGAAACGAAAAGCAAATTTCTTTGATCAAACTGTTCTGTCGGAGTCAAAAATTAATAAATTGGAATAGATCTGGAAGGGTTCAGAGGTTGTTCTGTACACGATTTTTCAGCATTTTGCGTTTGGAGCAAGCATTCGGAATTAGTAAATCACGAAATGGTTTAGTCATTGGATCGTCTGATTGATGACTCGGAGTGCAAATATGATTTGTATTTTTAAGGTCTAATTGCAGAAAATTGTTCTGCAGCAGTCTCATTCTTTTCCGTTGGTGTTGCATTTTAATCTATTTTGTATTGATCATTTGTTTTCAGCCACTTTTTTAAACCAACACAACTAATATAGTTTAGTCCTCTCCATTATTTATTTATATCAATTGGCAGGCGTTGTGAAAGTTATCATTAGCACTTTAGTTGACCTCAGGCTTCACAGAGGAGGAGGAACATCAAGGTGAAACAAGTCGAGGGGGAGAGGAGGAACAGAAGAGAGTTTCAAAGATGTAAAAG